CAATATCGAATTTGATAAATCTATTGGGCTTGAAATCTTTGGTTACAACGATACCCATTGTCTTTGTGAGCGAAAGGTGTTTCCCCTTGCGAGAAAAAATGGTGGACTCATGGGGAATTGGTTTGAGTGTGAGAAAATCAAAGGCTAAGAATTTGATGTGTGTGTTGACAAGCTGTGAGCATCCATTTTAATGAAGTGTTTCTTCTAGGTAAAGTTTGACTCTTAGGAAGAGGAAAAGTTAGAGTTTGAGCTTTATCCTAACTCATACTCTCTAAGATAAAAATATATGTTTTTAATTAAAACACTGATTTGAAGTTTAAATGTGAAGATAATTAATCAATCCTAGTTTTAAGGATATGGGTATTGATTGTATCTTCAATAATATATGATATAGAATATTAAAAGTGATAATATATGTAATTGTTTAAAAGTAGAGGTAAAATTAGTATATATGGTAGTGATGTATGCCTAATGAAATAGTTTATCCTAAAAAAATCACCTTACCAATATTGATTTTGAAAAAGAAAACCTAAGTTATGTTTTTCCTCGTTTTTTCTCCTATTACTACGTTTTATGTTCATGTTAGAAAAAATTACGCAAAATGACAAATATTTATAGTATATTACTCTTCATAGCTATAATTTCAGATATTTATGATTCCCGGTTAAAGTTTCTTAAATTTGCTATTCGGTTTCTAGTTGTATAAATTCAGAATTTGTATAATTCAATTTCTAACGGTATAAATCCAAATTTTGTATATGTTTACCCTAACTATTTGTATACAGTGGCAGAGCCACCATATCTTTAGGGGGTTCATCCGAACCCCCTTCGGCAGAAAATTATATTATTTTTACATGGTTAAAATAATTTTTTAGGTATATATAGTAGATGTCGAACCCCCTTAGTCTACTTCGTGTATCTATTTCTTCAGATTTTGAACCCCCTAATTAAAATTTCTAGCTCCGCCACTGTTTGTATACCATTTGTTGAGACATTTGATTTGTATAAGTTATGAAAAAAATCATAATAAATTACCCTGTTTGTATATTGACAAACGAAATATACAAATGGAGGTTTGAAAATTTTATATGGCAACGAAATGTACAAACGAAATTCTGAAAAATTCCTAAATGTATAAATACATAATTTGAATATACTTACCTTGCCCTTATCGAGGCCGGCAACAAACGATTATACGCCCCTTGAAAATACTCTCTCATCATCAAGGTTAAGCGCGGATCTAAATGGAGGTCGGAGTTTCCTTTGTCAAAAAATTATATGAGAAAATAACATTGTATATATAAAATTGGGATAAGGGTCTGAAAAATACCCCAACTTTGGTCGGATTTGCTGTTGCGATTACTAAACTTTTATGAGAACCTATTACCTCCCTAGACTATTTAATACCGTATTTTAAACATATATATATTTGTCCACGTGGACATAAAAAATAATGCAAAATTATAAATAGTAATGTGTGCACGTGGGGACATATATACCTTTAAAATACATTATTAAATAGTTCAGGGGGGTAAAAAATACGGTATTAAATAGTTTAGGGAGGTAATAGGTCCTTATGAAAGTTTAGTATCGCAACAGAAAATTTGACCAAAGTTAAGGTATTTTTCAGACACTTATCCCTATAAAATTAAGTTCTATTTTCATGAGAATATTTATTAAAATGAACCCCTCAACCTTGTGATTCCCAATTTTGCCAACCCTCACAACTCCATTCTTAATCCTTGTCTCACTGTTTGTGTATGAAGAAAAGTTGTGAAAGAGGAAAAACAAAGAGAGAATTAATGGGTCAAACCCCCATTTGGTGGATAAACTATAGCTCCTACATTTTGAATTTTTGGGATCTTCTTCTATTACCTCAATTTTGTCCAAAATGAGATTCACGACAATTTACTGCCATAAATCTTATGAGCTTGAAACGGAGTGTTTTTTCTTTGTTGGAGATATATGTTTTTTTCTTAAAAAACAGTACATGGAATGCTTGGATGTAAAAGTTTATATCTTCTCATATTTATATTGTTTTGGGAAAAAAGTCTGAAATATATTTGAATTTTGATCGAAATTGTTGTAACTAGGGGTGTGCAAAAACCTATTTAACCAATAAACCGAACCGAAAAAAACACTATTGGTTTATTGATATTGGGTTATTGGGCTAACGGATTTTAAACGGTTTTGTAAAATTTTTTATTGGGTTATTGGTTCGGTTTCCGGTTTTATAATTTTTGTTAATGGTTAAACCGATAACCCAATAAGATTATACTAAATTTACTAGTCTTATTGTTAATGATTAAACGATTGTTACTTTCACACTTTTTCCTTTGAATGTGTCTAGTGTCTAAACTTGCAAGAAAATGATTGTTACTTTTATGATTATTACTTTCATGCCAAATGCTGGAAAAATCATATGGTTTATTTGAAAATTTTCTTATCGTGTATATAATATATATGAGTATTTTCTTATTGGTTAAACCGAAAACCGAACCGTTAAGTACCATAAACCGATTAACCAAAAACCGATAAGAAATATGTTATTGGTTTGGTTATCGGTTTGACATATTTACAAACCGAAAACCGATAAACCGAACCAATAACACCTAGAACCGAACCGACCGATGCGCACCCTTACATAGTACCCCCTAGATTATGACCGAAATCGTTGTAACGATATCAAACTTTGGAAATGACCTTTTACCCCCTGCACTATTTAATAATGTATTTTAAAGGTATATATGTGCCCATGTGGACATCATAAATATTTCATAATTATAAATAGTAACGTGTCCATGTGGGCACATATATACCTTTAAAATACACTATTAAATAGTGCAGGGGGTAAATGGTCCTCCATAAAGTTTGGTATCGTAATAACAATTTCGGCCAAAGTTAAAGTATTTTTCAGATCCTTTTCCCTATTATTTTTATTGGGTAGAATATTGCTAAATAGATTCAGTCAAACAACTCTAATTCTTTTATGTTATGTTTCTATTTAGAGGATTCATGTATGCTATTAACCTATAATTGTAACACCTCGAAAATTGAAAGTTGAATTGAAAAGGAAAAGTTACAATTTTTTTTGTTGAGGCAGTGTCCTACGCAAGCCGCCTATGGGCCGTATGTAGGAAGGTAGTCGTAGGATTGAGTTGAGCTTTGAAAAATGTCAAGTCTCTGAGAAATTTTACTTGTTTCATGCAATGAAAGATTTAATTGCGGGTAGGAGGGTATGTGTTGTTGAGAAAGGCAGAGTTGCCAGTTGAAATGGGTGAAGAGGATCAAGCCACACAACATGTTCAAGGGGGTTGTCGTTACACTCAAATCAATGCGATTGGAGATCCTAGTAATTTTAAAAAAAAAAAACATACAACAGTAAAATCTCTATAAATTAATATAGGTGGGACCATGAAATTTTATTATTTTATAGAGATATTATTTAATTGATAAATTAATATTTATTAATTTAAAAAATGGTTTAAGATTTAATGAAGGTTAATTTTGATTATATCAAAATCATTGTATCTTACTAATTTATGTATCATATTTATTGTAATCACATAAAAAAAATACTATACATAAAGTACAATGAATACATCAAAATCATTGTATCTTACTAATTTATGTATCATATTTATTGAATTTTGTCACTATCGTGCAGTATCATATTTATTGAATTATCACTATCATGCAAACAAAACAATATGGATAACAAGTGTGTTTTTTGATGAATATATTCGTTGGTTTGACCACAAAATGCATGGTAGACGAGATTTGCTTATGGTAGAAAATTGTGTAGCTCATAATAGAAATATTGAAGGACTACAAAATGTTGAATTATTTTTCTTGCCACCCAACATGACATCTAAAATTCAACCTTTTATGATGCTTGGATAATAAAAGCTTCCAAGATGTATTATCGTAATAGATTTTATCGTAGAATATTAGAAGGCTATGAAGTGGGACAAACTAATCAAGCAAAGATTAATGTTTTGGATGCTATCAATTTTGCAATCCCTACTTGGACAACAAATGTTTAGCAAGATACAATAGCAAATTGTTTTCGACACTATAAAATTCGTTCGGGGGATTCAATCTCGGAGAATTTGAATGATGCACTTGTCAAAACGTCATTCATGAACTTGAGTTCATGATTAATGATCTTGGTTACCACAATAGAATGGATATCAATAACCTGTTAGATTATTCGGGTGAAAGTGATACATATTCAGAGATCTAGAGCGTAGAAGAAATTGTGGATATCATAGGAAAAAATAATGTTGATGATGAAGTTGAAGATTATACTATACCTTTGGAACCAGTTATGCGTAAGGAAGCACTTTTCGCATCTATAACTCTTCACAATTTTATGGTACAGTTCGAAAAGACAATATCGGAGCTCTTGAATGCATTAAGAAAAGTTAGAGATAAGCTTCAACTAGATTTAAATTTTAAGAAAAACAGAACACAATTGAATCATATTTTACTAAATTGTCTTAGATATATTTGTACTTTTAAAGAATTATTAATTTATGATATTAATGGGACCATATATTTATATAGGGATCTTCTGGAAATATATTATCTTATTATCTCATCGAAATTTGTGATTTTTTCCATTGGCCCAAGTTGGGACTGGAGAAAAATATTATTTTAAAGAAATTATTAATTTACCAAGTATTAATTTATAGAAGTTTTACTGTATTTTGATGATTGATTTAAATAATGATTTACTTTTATCAGAAATTCTTTAAAAAAAAGAAGGGGATGATAATATTTTACAGAATATAAAGTTAAAAGACAATCATTAAATGAAAAAGAAATTATTATCCTTTAAAATATTTTATGAAAAGAAAAATATTCTGAAAGAAGATAAAAGAAGGAAGGGAAGTGCAAGATTTATCCATTTGTCAATCAAAAGAATATGTCACACAAAGTATAACTTAGCATATGCCTCAGACACATAAACATGTCTCACACAAAGTAATTTTAACTTTTGTTATTGATTCGTCGACTGTCATTCATTATCCACCGCTTTCGTTTGTCGGACTACTCTGGTTAGTAAAATATTAATTTTTAATATTTTATCTTAGGATTATTCTATATTTTGACCTTTTATAATTAATTGTTTCTATTTTGCTTTATAAATTTCATTGCCAGAATCCTCGTCAAACCAACAGGTATGTGGTCCTTTTTTATTTTATAATGTAATCTCTTTACTTTTAAATATGATAATACTGTAATATATATTTTATTATATACCATCTTAGAATATATTTTATAAATAAATTACTTTAAGATCATGAACATTTTAAAAAGTTTTAATTCTGATATGTTTTTTATTCTACAAGTAGTTTTCTTCTTCATTTAATATGTTTGTGTTAAGGACAAAAGTTTTAATTCTGATATATGTGTTTGAGGACAAAAGTTTTAATTCTGATATATTTTTTATTCTACAAGTACCTGATGGTCAAATTTAGTTTTCAACTGATTTTCTTGTAAAATTTATTATAAGTGTCCCAAATTCTTTTCACGAATAAAAAAGTAAATTACAATATTTTTGCAAGAAAATAGTTTTAAATTACAATGTGTTGCAAATAAAAACAGTTTTAAATTCTTTTCTTACTTTTTCCTTTTTTTCATATAGACTTTTTTTATTTCTCTTATTTTTACACTGACGAATGAAAGAAAAAAATAAAAATAAGAAACTCAAACAATGATAATCAAATAAGTTAAAAAAGAATTCATGTGTGGAAAAAATTAAATATATCTCTAAACTTTGCTAGAAGGATTATATATATACCTCTACATGAATTTTTTTAAAATTAAAAATCCCGTTAGTTGAAAAGGATATATATATATATATATATGAGCCATTTTGTGACCATATGAATATATGTGAGCCACTTTTATAATAATAGAAATATATGTGAACAACTTTTACAAAGAGAGATATGTCATGTCTAAATGACCAAACTGATGAATATATCATGTCTTCCTTTTTATATTGTTAAATTTGTTTCTTTTTAAATGATTAAGGGTAACTGAATTAGTAATTTATATGAGTATCTAATCAAATTTACCCATCTTAAATTACTTATTTTAAAGTGAGTAGTTAAATGGATAAAATAGACCATTTATAGTTTAGATAATTAGGCTAACACATTATGGGTATTGATTTCTGTCACCAGATTATTATGGTTGATTTTGAAATTTTGAGATCTTTTTCAAATATTCTTAAACATATTAGTTTTTTATTTTTCTTCTTGAAAAATCGATGATGATTTATAGTTTGTTTGATTTCATCTGTTCTCTTCATACTCGAAACTCAAAAAAATAAAAATTGAAGTCCCTAATTTCGTATTTATTGAAATGATTGTCGGGAAATATTTTTACAACAACTCGGTGATAAAAAATAAATTTTTAATTGATTTGAATTTCTCATTGGAGTTTTTATTGATTTGGTTTAAAAGAAAGTTTTAATTGAATTTTAAGGTGAAAGTAGATCTAAATTGATAGGTTGAGTGTTCATGGTGGAAGAAGGTCTAGAAAGAATAGAAAAATATAGAAAAAGTAGGGAAATTTCAAAGAAAAAAATATTTAAATCATAAATATAGTGTTAGATGCGTGTATTTTACTCTTTGGACAAAAAAATGGTTTCGACTTTTAAAGGAGGTAGTAGTTTCACTTTAAAATAATGACCCCGCAAAATTGAAGTGTGTTACAATAGTTTCTACCAAAAATTGTGTATTTTGAGCCATTTTTTTCTCAATTTATGTGATGTATTTTCCATTTTATTTTATCTAAAAAAAAGTATAGTATTACCTTTCCATATATAAAATGTGAAAATCACTTACACTTCCATATATATACACTTTGATTTCAAAAATCAAAGTTCTTCCTCAACTATGAACCATAGATATTCACCCTTTCATAAATAGAAAAATTCTCATTTTATTCTTAATGAATTATAACCATACAAATATTTTAGATAATACATTTCAAATATTTTTTTTCAAAAACAGAATACATGAACATAGCATGGGATATTATTTTCATTAACTAATTTATATGTACTAAATTCTCACACACGTCTCTTCGTAATATTCCAAACAACAACAACATGCCCAGTGAGATCCCACTAGGTGGGGTCTAGGGAGGGTAAATTGTACGCAGACCTTGCCACTACCTCGTGGAGGTAGAGAGGCTGTTTCCGGGAGACCCTCAGCTCAAGAACAACAAATCTAAGTGACAGGAGAGATATAAATAAAACATAACAGCCAATACAAACGATAGCGTATAATCAACAAATGAGACAGTAACAACAAGAAAGTAATGCGATGCGTGAAACGCAGTAAACAACATAAGGCTATGTCTACTCCAAATGCTAACAACCCATACCCTTGCAAGGGAAGACAACACGCTAGCCCTACTAACCTACAACCTTAATACGAGACCTCCACTCCTTCCTATCTAGAGTCATATTATATGATATAAAAAAATATGTAGATGTTGAATAAAAATCTTTTAGAAGAAAGTACTAGGTAGTATATTGACCCAAAAAAGCAACATGCATAAAAACTGAACAACATGTTGATCATGTTTAAGTTTTAGAGTTGTTAAATGTACAGTATAAAGTGGTCTACCCATTATATTGAAGATGCTAACAGTCAATAATAAATACACACAATTTGGAATTGATGTGGGAATGCTTGGAATTTCAACTATCATAGATAAGTATTCATAGCTATATGACATAAAAGTGGTTCCTTAGAAAACATTACTCCAAAAGAACATCATGGCTGCAAGAAACATAGGTTCTTGAGAGGATAAGCAAGATAGGAAAGTGATCATGCAGTTTGTGAGACGATAATGATAGATATCGTGAGAGAAATGAACGATAAGTATCTCGAGTTTTATCCTCAATTGCATCAAGAAAATATTGTCAAACTACTGCTTCAAGAAGTGTAATTTCTATCTTGGCCAAATTCAAGATCTTCTGTCTTGTTTAATTCAAAGGAAACCTCCACCAGAATACTCAACCTCCTGCATTTCAACGGCTCCAAAACGTTATGAAAACGAAAAGTACTAGGACAATAAATTCATGAATGATTTTCTTAAACAACCACTTCCAGACATAACAGCTAGAGAAAACGCATGCTAGATAGAACAGTAATAAAGATTAAAATCTGCATAAAAGTAGGGAAGACAACAGAATTGAAGGACAAATATGTGCAAAGGAAAACTCAATAAGATTAAAAGTAGTTCTCAATCACACCAACTTATTGAAAACAACAGAAGTCCAAAACGTCGGAAGATGCAAAATTTGTTTTTAGGACAAAAAGAGAAAAAGATATAGATTACTGAGAAATTGCAAACATGGTTTATTTGTTTCATAGTGTCATAAATATTTCTTTCTCCAAACTGTGACAAATGCTTCAAAAAGGTGAATAATTAAGTTTCAAGAGATTTTATAATTAATTAAAAATTGTGAAAAGAATTAATAATATCTTGTATTCCAGAAAACTATGGACAACTTTCAATGTTTTTATTGCAATGCAAAAGGTTTTGCATCAGTTGGAGAGTTTACTCAACACGCGGGTGATTGTGCGGTGAGTAAACTTTAATTTAGCAATTTACAATTTTTTACATAAAAATACTTTATTTAAAAGCTAACTAATTTTATTTTATTTGATCCAGCCACCATACTTAGACCCCACAGAGAGGAAAGCGAGCAGGTACTGGAATTGTTCATGCCTATGATCGAGCTGCAAACAATATTGTTATTGCTAGAAACAATTATAAAGCTTCCTCTACAGAAGCTAATTATGACATTCTCCAAGCAGCTGAGAATCAATTAACTGAAGTGCGCACTAAAATAGAAGAGTTTTATCCTAAAACTCGTGCCGAAAAAGCAACATATGAACTGTTGAAGAAATGTTGTACTCTTGTACAAAATCTTCTAGCTGATATGGCGGCTTATGATGATGCAGCTGCTATTAAGAATGAGGATACTGTTAATGAGGATGAGGATGAGGATGATGAGAATGAGGATACTACTATTAAGGATGATGATGATGAGGAGGAGGAGGAGGACGATGCACATGCTGATGAAGCATCTGATGACGATAAAGATGATTCCGATGATGAATAAGACAATTATTATCCAGCTCACGGAGGATGTCAATGAGAATGACAACTTAATCATGTCGAAGAGGATGAGGAATAAGGCAATTATTATCTACCAAGACTACTGATGAACTTTTTAAAATTCTACTACTATGTACGTACTATATGTCTGTGAATTTTTATTATATATATATATATGTATGAACTTTATGTGTGTTGATTAGTGTTTAAAAAACACATTATTATTATTATTATTATTATTATATATGTGTGTATATATATATATATATATATATATATATATATATATATATGAACTTTACGTGTGCTAATTAGTGTTTAAATTTTTATAATCTACTTTGCTCGAAAAATTATAGAGTATCTAAAAAAAAAAAATTAGCTAGCGAATTTTTTATTTTCTCTGTAAGGTGAATGAAATTAGGGTGGGTGAGGAACAAAAACAAAATATACAAACCAACCTGATGGAGGTTATATTCTTTGAGATGAGAATCAGAGATACACACAAATCTTTTCGGCGAATGGTTACTTAGATATTTTGTTCGTACACAATCAACGGAGGTCTTTCCGACATATGTTGTAGCGTCTCCAATAACATGTTCTTACTTTGTCTCTCCCTTAATAAGTCATCAAGTGTGGTGCTTTTTGATCCCCAATTGCTACGGAGAACAAAGGACGAAATACAATCGATTCCTCCATTTAAGTCCCTACATCATTGTTTGTTTATATTGTTTAATTAATAATTTGATAAATTATAAGAACATAGAGATACAAAAATGACAACTTTAAGGTTTATGTATCCATTATATTTAATATAACAAGTTTATTTTTTACAAGAAAGTGCTAAAAAAACTATAAGATAGTTCGGCTTCTTTCACACTGAAATCATAAACCATCCCCTAATCGTTTCATTGTCAATTACAATATCATTTGTCCTCATGCTAAGTTGCAATTGCTTCAAGTCATAGTTGGTGCATGATAGGAAAGAATCAGCCAGCTTTCTTCTACACAGTAAAACCTCACAAAACTAATATTCGGTTAATTAATAATCTCTCCAAGATAATAATTTCTTCCGATCCCGACTTGGGCCAATGGAAAAAATCACTCATTTCGATAAGATAATAAGAGAATATATTTTCCGAAGACCCCTATATAAATATATGGTCCCATTAATATTATAAATTAATAATTTTTTAACAATACAAATATATTTTAGAAAATTTAGTGAAATATGATTCTATCATGCATTTTTAACATCCATTTGAGAAAGTCCCCACCGTTTAGCTGCTGCAATAGGGCACGAACAGAGGTAACACGAGCTACTGGGGCGAAGGTCTCCTCATAATCAATTCCATACTCTTGGGTGAATCCTCGAGCAACTAATCGAGTCTTGTATCTTTCAACAGAGCCATCAAGTCGTGTCTTGATCTTATAGATCCATTTGCAATCAACAAGAGTTTTATCAAAAAGAGGGTCAACTAAGTCCCAAGTATGAGTTTTTTCAAAGGCCTGCAACTCTTTTTTCATAGCTTGCTGCCAACAAGGATCACTGGATGCCTCTTTGTATGTACCATGATTGTATAAATTAAGCGTGGTACAATAACATTGATAATCACGAAGATAACTAGGAGGATTTTTCTCTCTTTCTAGACGGATAGATGAAGTGTTATCAGGAAGAAGAGAAAATGAGGGTACCTCAGAATCAACATTCATATCAAGAGTGGAACTATCAATTGGAAATCGATCATGAGAACTGGATATTGTACTATTTTCATGAATTGGACCATCAGATGGACCTGCATCAAGGGAAATAGTTGAACCGTGGGGTGCAATGTATGACTCATTAGATGAACCTGCATCAAGATCATTTTGTAAAAGCTCAACAGAAGGATTAGAAAAGAATGTCAATTCGATTGATGGAATAGACTTTAACTTTGACAGTGAGGAAAATTTAATATGTTTCCAAAAAACAACATGTCGAGAAATACGAATACAATTTGACACATGATCCCAACAACGGTAACCTTTATGTTCTATCCCATATCCTAGAAAGAAACAAACTCGAGCAGGAGGTTCTAATTTTGTGTATTCATGTGGTTGAAGAAGAATAAAAAAAGCAGAGCCAAAGACTTTAAGTAATGTGTAGTCAGGAGCTACCTTGTAAAGACGTTCATAAGGAGACATGTTTCCAAGAACAGATAATGGGAGTCCATTGATAGTAAACACTGCAGTAAGATCTGCTTCACGGAAAGATGAATAAATAATCATGGCCCGAACAAAATCAAGGATATGCCTATGCTTACGTTCTGCTCATCCATTTTGTTGGGAGGTAACGGGACAAGAGAATTCAGAAAGTGTACCATTTATAGATAAGAAATTCAAAAGTTTAGAATCACGATATTCCATGGCATTGTCACGCTGAAAACCATTGATACTTTTACCAAATTGAGTTTTAACCATATTGGCAAAATTAATAAAGATTTAAGGTAGTTCTGAACGATTTTTCATAAGATATATCCATGTGAATCGAAAAAAATCATCGATAAAAATGACAAAGTATCGTGATCCAATCATGCTTGGTACAGGGAAAGGTCCCCAAACATCAGAATGTATTAAATCAAAAGGAAACTTTGAAATAGAAAACTTTATTAAAAGATAAAGCAGGTTGTTTGGCATGTTTACATGCAATACAATCCAAACTTTTCTCATTAACGTACATGACCTAAAAACCCACTAGAAACTAAAGAATGAAGTTAACTCAAAGAACAATGACAAAAATGTTGATGACATAATGACAAAGGAACACTAGAAGAAGCATCACATAATCGAGACACATGAGATGATTGGGGAATATGAAGACTAGTGAATTCAAACACACACCCAACTTTACGACCTTTCCTAATGATTTGTCTTGTCTAAAGGTCTTGCACTCGGCAACCACGTGAAGAAAAAAATACATCATATCCCAAACCACATAATTGTCCAACAGAGATAAGATTAAAATTTAAACTTGGAATAAGGAAAGTATCAGGCAAAGAGAGATTTGATGAAGAAATCAATCCTTTACGAATAACATTCATATTAGATCCATCAACAGTATGAATGGATGATGGGCTAGAAATAGTATCCAGGTCAAAGAAAATCTTGGAAGAATACGTCATGTGATTACAACATGCTGAATCAAAGTACCAAGATGAATTACCTGAAGGAATAACTAAAGATGCATGATCGTTGCCAGGTGGAGAAATAAGTTGACTAAGGAGAGATTGAATGGCAATTGATGAAGTTCCAGAATTGTTGGTTATTGCAAGAACTGGATTTGATGGGTGATTCAAACAAGATTGACTTTTTTCTGAGGACGAGTAGGACAATTCTCTATCAAGTGATCTTCATTTTTACAATACCTGCAAATTAGAGGACAATTCCTAGATATATGTCCCTTCTTCTTACATTCATTACATTCAATAACTGATCAATTGTGTAAGGCATGACCAGTTTGATGACAATTGCGATAAATTTTGGCACCAATTCTGTTAGTGGCTGCAAAAACTGAATTATCCACTGATCGCGTAAGATCCAAATGAGTTTCTTCAGATTTTAGTCTAGGAAGAGCAGCTTCAAGAGTTGACAAAGGTTATTGGTTAAGCAATGCAACCCGGGTTGGTTCATAATCATCAGTAAGAGCCATTAAGAATTGAATCAATTTATCATTGTTGCGGTCAGCTAAAAATTTAACAACAACATCAGAATTTCTAAGATCTGGTGCAATCAAGGTTAATGGATTCCATCTTCGAGAGAAATTCATTGACAAGTTCTCCCTTTACTTGTTTCAAACTAGCTATCTCCTTCATCATTGAAAACGATGAGAAAGATCAGAAGTAGTATATCATTGAGAGAGATGATCCCATACCTTTTTTGCGGTGTCGAATTGTCCAAATTGGAGGTGAATACTTTGAACAAAACTATTTCAAAGCCATGTAATGATTTGATGATTTTGGCTATCCCAATCTTCTAAACGATCGACAAACTTTTCATTTGTTTCAGTCTCAGTTTGCTTTGGACAAGTTAAATCACCTGTCACATATCGACAAAACTTTCTCCCTTTCAAAAAACTATGCATTGCCTCACATCAATGATGATAGTTAGATCTATTGAGAACAACGGAAATAGGTTGAGAAATATCATTATTGTCCATGATATTCGCTCAAAATATTAACGTCAACAAACCAAAATATGAAAGATAGAAGAGACCCAACAAAGTGATGAAGCAGTAATTGCTATCAACAAAATATCATGAGAAAAATAGAATAGTGAATATGGATTTCAACAATCCGAGGAGGCTCTAATACCATGTTACAAAATGAGACAGAGAACCACAAGAATTAGTAATTTTATTCATCATTGAATAAAAGAGACTACAACCATATTTGTACACAAGAAGCTAAGAAGCAAAAAGATA